GAATGAAATCTGAACCCTGGTCTTTTCTTACTTACATTCCTTTAGCACCCCGTCCATCTGAGGCAATGCTTCTGATTGCCTCTGTGCTGGCAAAGCGCCGCTACTCACTCGAGCTGCTACCGCAGGGCAGGTCCTCTGCTGCAACGGGACCCGAACTCGCGGCGCCATATGTCACCAGCCCCCATTTCCGCACCTAAGCTGCTCCATCCATACTCAGACATGGCTGCATGGCTGAATAGCTCCGTCGCAAACACGCAACCGAGGGCCGCACGTGGAACATTTCCACGGGGCCATCAGCCTCGAAGACGACTTCGTAGAGGTCAGTGCTCGCCTGTATGCTTTCCAAGTCTCGCCCAACTCGGGCTCTGCTTGGCTAGTTTGCTTTGGGGGCCCCGCTACCCTCGTGAACACTAAGACAATGGTATAACCTGAAAACTGTCCTAGAGCTGAAACAGTTTTGATGACGGTCAGTCCCACTGCCACACTCTGCATGGGATGCTTTCCCCAGTTCAGGCTTATTTGCTTGCCATACTCGAACACCAAACTCACTGGTAAATGTGCACCAAAGAGCTAAATGCTGTCAGAACCACAGCGAGGGGAAGGAACAAACCGCCAGCAAGAACGACGATTGCTCCGAAGAGCACGAATTTCGCTCCTTCTTGATCTCCACCTTCGTCAGCTTGCGTTCCTTGTTGCCAATGATGACAGAACGATCCAGAGTCAGAAAATCCGCCCGCAGATCACGAGTGCCTGCGCAACCCAACACCCCATGCATCTTGGCGTGAACGACCCAGCGGCCGCATGCTCAGTGCTTTATCGACTTGCAACCTGTTGGGGCCTCAATGTTCACGATGTTGGTCTTGGTTTCACCCAATCTCGCAAACATGTGACCCTTCCCAAGAACATCGGCTAGCTTGGGATCGGCCCAATGTGGCCTTTCATCCAAGAGGAGTTGGAGCGGTTCAAGAGCTGGCTGCCCCACAAAAACAGCACTGTCCACTCATACCAGCACCGGGCCCCCCTGGATCTTCCAAGATAAAAACCACATCGACCGAAACCGGATCACGCACCCCGCCCAATAAATTGGTGCTGGATGGTGCTGGTAGCAAACAGTCGTGGTTGGGGCGCGCAAACCCAAGGCTTGGAATCACGGGCAGCAAACTATGTGTTTCACCGTCTCAACACGCATAGCATCGCATGCCCAACCGGGTTGGCACCAAACAATTCCTGCTGGTCCCAGCCGTTTGTCGGCGCACCGTCTTCAACATCAACCCGCCTGCACTGCTGGGCACCGCCACGCGATGAGACTTGGAGACCGTGAAGATGCCCTGCGTGACTGGTAGGCGTGGGAACAAACACACACCCTGTTTGCGTTGGATGTCATTTGCAAACAAGCAAAAACAAGACAATAAAGCAAAAAACAGCAGGGTTTAAAACAAGAACCAACAAATGCCTCGAAATTCGAGGCAAGGGGGCCTGATCAGTGCTCAGTTCCACCGCCTCGTGCTTCTTGACATCCAACACTTCCGCCACTTCGCCGTCTGCCCGGCGACGCGGTGCCCCGGCTTGAGCATCTCCACCCTCAAAAGCTCGCCGTCCGCGCCAGGCAAGGCCGTCTTGGGCAAGAAGCACCTGACTGGCGCTCTGTCTGTGTGTGTATTTGCTTTGAGTAGCCTTTAGTGTGCTTGGTTTTGAAGGGAACTGCAGTCCCCCTTTCTGGACACATAGCCAAAGCGGCCAAAGAAATTCCTCGAGGGCTTTTGGGAATGAGCCATCTGGGATCCCCTATGAGACTCCAAACATGGGCTTCATCGCGAGGATCGATTCAAACCTAGGGCCAGGGATCCCCTCAACTGAAACTAGGAGGATGGTTTTCTTGTAGGAGTCATTCCCTCCTTTCTGAAAGGCAAAGGCACTTGCACGACGTGCCCGCGTCGCTGATGGATTGCACCTCCTCTTCTAAAACAATCTTGCACCATGAATCATGCTGGGTGGCTGCGTCACACCTGCCAAAACAAACTGCAACGCCTTCGACATCTATTGGGCCTTGGCTCAACTGTCCTCTCTTAAGCAATAAAAAATACAAAACACAAGCCTTGGCCTGCATCTTGTGATCCAGCAGGGGCATTTGAGCAAGAAAGAGCCTAAGCTTGCGATTTCATCCGCTTGGATGGCTCATGCCAGGCGGCTGTGACGCACGGCTGTGATTAAAAAAGGGGTGAGAAACCAAATCCCAAGGGCTCGGCATTCCCGCGGGACGCCAGTGCAAAGAAAATCCCTGGTCTGATCAGACCGTGCCATCTGGCGGAAGGATTAATTAGCAAGGATTAAGGATTGATTTCGCACATTGCACACATTTCTGCAAGGGCCAAGGGGCCATGTGCACCTGCCCCGCATCTGGCAGATCCTTTGGCGCGTCTTCGACGAGATCCTGGGAAGCACGCTGCCAAGCCAGCAAGAGGTACTCCCGCAGGAGTTTTCACGTTAGGTTTGGCACGAGGCCCAATCATTAAAAAGAAAGTCAGGCACGGTTTTGATCAGGCGTGTGGTTTGGTGCCAAAAATGGGCATTGACCTTGGATGCAAACGATTCAATGTTTGGCGACACTTCTTCTCTTGCTGCAGAGCCTCAATCTGCTTGTTTTGGCCTGGCGCGAAGGATGCGAAATTGCATCTGGCCTGCTCCAGCTTCTCTTGCGCCAGCAGCTCTAAGTCGCGCTTGAATTTGTCCAGCTGCTGCTGCGTTTGCGCGGTCGGGTCTGCCTTGAGACAGCTTCTGCTGCAGATGTTCATTCTCAAGCTGCAAAGTCTGCTTCTCCTGTTGCAAAGAGTCCTTCTTCTTCGTTGCTTGCACCAACTGCAGCTGCAAGTCATCTCCCTGCTGCTGCAACTTTTCACTGGGTGACCTCCGTGACCTTCTGCTTCAATGCGCTGCACTGCTGTTGCAGCTTTGCTTTCTCCGCCCTCTCACTCTCCATTACTTGCAAAGGCAAAGAACTGCCAGGCCTTGGCAGCGGCAGCAGCGAGATCTGCAGACTTCAACTCTGAATACAGCTGCAGCGGCGTGCGGCTCACGATGGTCCTGGTCAGCAATATCTTCTCCCCAGTGTCCGCCTCGGCCCAGACCTTCTGCCCAAGGGCCTTCGCCCAGCACCGCCTACCCTGCGGCCTCCTCCACCACCACGCTGCCATCCGCGTAGAAGCTGACCTTCGACACAGATGCCGGCCAGGGGTCCTCTTGCACCACGCAGAGATCTGCCGCGGCCGCACCCCACGGTCGCAGCTCCACGCCGCCAGAGAACTCTGCGGCCCAGGCCCCCGTGACGAAGTTGGGCCCATACGACTGCCATGAGAGCTCCGGGGCCACGGCTTGGTGAGAGATGCTGAGGGCGAAAGCTTCGACTTTGAAGCTGCGAAGATCAACACAGTCATACGTGGATGCGACTTGCCCGAAATCCTGGTTCGGAATGGGAACATGCAGCCACCAAACCGAATGATTACTCACTCCTGACATGGCTAGTCACGGTTTTTTGCCAGGAGTGTCCATTTAGACAGTATTCCTTTCAAATGTCGCGCGCATTGTCCAAATTGATCATCAACTTTTAAGGCGAACACTGAACTGGCCATCTTTGCCAAAAGAGAAAACTTTCACAATTGGAAGTAATTGCAAAGCCATTCTCACGGAAAGTGGTCTTCAAAGTGGTGCTCTCAGGCGCAAAGTGGCCATCTCAGCGGTGCAAGCCACCGAACCCTCCCCAAATCCACCCGGTCCCCGCGCAGGAGCCATCTTGGTCAGTGCAGGTGGCAAGCGCGGCGGCAACGGCGCCCATGGAAATGACACTAGGAGCGCGTGGGCTAGGTCCAAGCGGGCTCAGTCACAACTACTCTCCATAGGTAGAGGGAGTTATGATGAAGTGCAGATTTTGGGGACTAGGCGCAGCATTGGGAAGCTGTAGATTTCAGAATTGCCGGGTCCTGTTAGAGCATGGAAGGACAAACGGAAAGAACAGCAACTTAAGATGAGCTCCAGCACATCTGAATAAACACATCCGAAGGTTTAGCGGCTGCAATCCACAAGCGCGTGGCTGGAATCACACTTGCTTGTGTTTGAGAAACGAGCTGCAGCAGCTTTCCGTGGTACTTGAGGACTGTGAAGGGGTGGAAAAGTGTCCAAATACCTCCTTGCAAGGTACAAACCCTGTGACGTGTTTCAACAAAACCATCAAATCCAATATCAAAACTCCTGGTCTTGCGCACATAGATCATACCACACACATCATTCACACTGTTTCTGGCAACGCCATGCACAGCTGTCTCCTGCGAATCCCCGCAACGCGTAGACACTGTTCTTGGACTCCTGTACAGTAACTAGTTTTCCGCGGGCTTGCTGAACGCGGACAAGCGCTGTGTGTCTGGGCCTCCCCCCCTTTGAGCACCAACCTATGGGTGGCATCTGCCATCCAGTGACGGGGGGCCCCAAAGCAAAAAGGTGCCCGAGCTTGGCGAACACCTCAACGATGTCCTCAACTCTGTCCTTGTCAAGTAGATTGCTCAAAGTATCCGTCGAGAAACCTTGGCCGCTCCAAATTATACATGTCTCGTCTGAACCTCACTCTCCAAATCTGGACGACCAAAAGGAGATGTTGAAATCAACACCCGATGGGAACGGGAGGTAAAGGATCCCAAGGGGCTTCTTGCCCCTGTTTCTGTTGTGGTACCCAGGTTGTTTTTTTGTTTCACCCTGCCCTGCCCTATGTGTCAGGCTGCCCATTTCAACCCCGTCCAAAAGGGGGTGGCACTTCCAATTTGAATTCAATTTGCGAGCCTCCAGTTTAAGTTCCAGCTTGAAGCATGGATCAATTTCACTGGGTTGACACCACTGCAAGGAAAACCAATACCACCTGGCACAAGGATGCGATCCCCTTTTGAGCAAACTTTTGATGGACTCAATCGAACCACTTGGGTCACGTTGACGAAAACGCGCTCCCGTGGCACTCGTGCCTGGCGCCTCCTCCGGCCCCGCCAGCTCCGTGTCGCCTCGGACATTGGAAATGAGTCGTCACCAAACCAAAAACCAAGAAAACATATATATATATATATGGTTTAAACCAAAAACCAAAAACTGGCTTGTCTGTGTTCCCCCCCCCCCCGCGAAATATGGTTTGCCCCACTTTGGTTGCCTTGTTTGGTGACTTGTTTCTTGTCAACCCCGAAAGTGAAAGGGAATCCTTGGGTCACAAACAGTTCCGGGGATCACTTCCAACCATTCTGTTCCATCCGAAACTTGTCAAAACGCTAAAGATCCAGGGATTTAAGCACAGTTTATTGCAAAAAACGATGGACGAAACGAATGGAAAAGGACTCCACCCAAAGGAAACCGCTCTATGAAAGGAGGATGCTTAACTACAAATGGGGAAGCAGCTCGTAGAAGGGTGGCTCCCTGTTTGGGCATTTGGAAGCCGAAGTGGTGGACAAAACCCGTTCCCTCGGATATGGACCATCAAATTAATGAACTGTTGAACTGTTGTGACCGAACTTCAGATTCCAAACTCACCCACTTCCCTCTTGCAGCTTCAATGCAACCACATGCCAAAGCCAAATTGGAAGGCTACATGCTCTTCAACATGCCCGGGCTTCGTGAAGCAGTTTCAACATGCTTACGCCGCTGGTTTGAAAGGGAAACAAGGGCGATCAAGGCAAAAACGCTGAAGCACCGAAACCAAGTTCGTTTGTTTAACCACCCAGCAAAACATACGCAGTTTCCCTTCATTGAGCCAATGCACAAAAAGAACGTGCCGACAACTCCCATTTTGACTTCAACCACATCTCCCAGCCAGGAGCCCCGGCACACCGTCTGCGGGGACGCGGACAACAGGAACGCGCTGCCCAGGAACTTTCCCAGCCTCAGGCGCTCACTCGCCAAGCCGCTGTCGCAAACGTGGTCGTGATTCTCTTGAGGTAATTGTGGCAGTTGTAGTGGTTGTAGTGGCTGCGGCGCTGCTCTGTTGCTGTGACGGGTGGCGGAGCAAACCCGCGGCAAACAAAGGAGGGCAAACATTCAGCACACTTGGAATGGATCTGAATGTAAGATAATTGCCAAGCTAGAATGGAAGCCTTTAGGGCCTGAATTGGCGCCGTTTCAAAACTAGACACCCGTTTGGAGAACGACCGCACAGGACCATTGAAGCGGCCCCCAAGAAAAAAACATGCACCACCAAATGTTGAATATTGAGACCGCTGGGGAATCTGTACCTTTGTGACAGTCGTCTTGCACAAGATGCCTGCGCGTAAAATCATGCTTTGCATGCTTGTCCCGAGAGCAGAAATATTTTCAACGCATGGGCAAATCTGATTCAGCCGATCCCAACACAAGTTTCCGTTTTCGAAAGTCAAGTGCTCACTCAAATGAACTATCCAATATACATGTTTGTCCGGCCGGATTCCGCAAACAGTATCACTTGACTCCAATCAAACCGATGAACGTCCCTGTACACGCGTGAGCCCGCGGGAACGTGAGCTATATTACACTACAGTTTGCTTTGCGGATGTCTAAACGAGGTAGCCCGCGCCTTCGAACGGCAATGCATGACTGGCCCCACACAACGCCCTCAGCCAGTGCTAAAGCAAGGCGGCAGCCCGAGGTGTATAAGGCGTGCCAGGCAGGCGGCGTTCTATCAAACGCAGCTTGCTGGGAACTCACTGAAAGGGGCCTATGGGAGCACCGCAGGTTCGTGGCCTCCGGCGCAAACACATTCGTCTAGGAAATAACTCAAAGGTTGCAGTGGTTTTCCAGCAGGCGCGCAAGCCTTGGCAGCTGAGCACTGCGTGCCAGCGCCAGCGCGCTGCTGGGATCGCTGGCACCCACCTCCGCCTTGGCGGCGCACAAACGCGCCACGAAGGCCAGGTGCACCTCCGAGGCTTCCAGGCGATGCTCCCGCCAGTGCTCGTGGCCCGCCAGCAGCTGCAGTGGGCTCCTTCGCTGCGCGTCCAGGGCTTCCAAATCCACCGAGAACTTTTGGCACCGCAGCAGCAAGTCCAAGCTCCGCAGGTAGCGCTCTGGGTTCTTTTTCGGCAGGTTCAGAATGCCCAAGCACAGCAAGTGGAGCAAGGAAAGCTGCGAGGCTTTGGTCCTCACTGTCGCGAGGTTCCCAGGGTAGAGCTCCAGTAAGGGCTCCAAGCCCCTGTCGTAGCCTCCGAAAACTGCGAGCTCCAGCTCGTGCTGCGTGATTTTGGCGCCCCGGGAGGCCAGCCACCGGATCATCGGGCCTTGGTCCGACAGCGCGGCGTACACCAGCACCGACCAGCCGAAGGGCGTCTCTGCGTTCACGTCCGCACTGTAGCTCACCAACAGCTCAGCCGCCGCGACGCAGCCGCCTTTGGCGGCAAACATCAATGGCACGGCCCCCACGTAGTCCTCCTCCTGCGCCCGTGAGGGTAGCTCTATGAGCAGGCGCCGCAGCTCCTGGACGTCCCCCAGCTCCGCCGCGGCCGCCACGGCGGTCTTGATCCGCTTCGGCCGCTTGCCCCCGAAGGGCCGCAGCAGCTCCTCGTAAACTGCCGAGATGGCTTGGAACAGCGCAGTGGCTGCTTCCCGCTCCGCCTTTGGAAGCTTGTCTGGATGGTATCTCAGCGCCAAGCGCAGGTAGACCCTACGGAGTTGCACGTCGTCGCAGGGCAAAAATGGCTCGAAAAGCGCCCGCGCATCCTCTAAGTTGGGCAAGCTGCTGTGGTTCTGCCACTCCAAGCAATCCATGGCGTGGATCCAAGGCAACTACATCTCATTGAAGCAAAGATATGGGTAGCTCGTCTTGTTTACTGGGTTCAGGGTTCCGTGATGCACGCAACATGCACCCAAAGTGAGACGGGTTTTGCAATGTACAGCAATTATTACAAAACACTCACGCTTGCCACGCATTAAGCCACCAAACAGCCACCAAGCAGAACACACAAGGCGCTGTGTCAAGGGGCTCCCTGTGGGGACCGTTGCTGAAAAGGCTCCAAAGGGAACCAGCAGCCAAGGGGCCAGACATGAAACCAAAAGGCGAAATGGCTACAAGTGGGTTTGGGGTGGAAGGATTTCCCTAGGTTTCCCTATGTGAAAACAGGCACGGCAGGCTGAGCAAACCCCACGAACTGAAGCCTTTCAGTCATTGCTTTGCTGCATTCGAGTTTCGCATGGCACAAAATATCATACGGGACTATGGCGCAATGGCAGCGCATCCGCCCGTAGACGGTCGGAAGCTTTGTCGCACAAATGCTTAGTTCATCCGTGCCAACCTTTTGCGATGCATATTATTACTTGTGTCTTGTTTTGAGGGATGTCAGAAATACACGGTTGGATTTATGCCCCTTCCCAACCATTTTTAAGGGTGTGCCACGACGGGTTTGTTTCAGAATGGGATATGGATCCCAAAAAGGGCGTTGGTTTCGCCAAAAACATGGTTTCCCAAGCCTCAAAACATACAATCACACCTAGATGCCGACCTTCTTGTACAATAATCCAAAGAGGGGGCACCAACTCCTCCAACAAAAAGGCACCCACGCCCAAGCGAAGTGCCCGCCACATGCCGTGCTTTCGCCCCAGCAAGTTTCAGCACCTCTGAGCGCCCGCGCGGGCCCCTCCGCAGGGCGCTGTAGGGGCAGGACAGCTGCTTGTCCAAAATCTGAGACAGCTCCTGGAAAATGTTCCCTTTTCAGAGGTTCGACCTCCCTGTAATCCCACTTTCAAGCATTTCACTCCTGCATGTTGAGTGGGTAAACAGCAATTTTCCATGCAAAAACATGTTGCAATTCTGCACATGCCTTTTGAATCGTGGGAAATGCTTGTCATTTTCAATTGGTTAGTTCGGTCGAACCAAATAGCAACAAAGGTTGCCCGTACATCCACCAAATCGAGCTTTTCCCCTTTGCCGCGGTGCTATGTCCATGTGTTTTGTTTGCTTTATCAGGCAAACCAAGATTTAAGACTGACTAGAAACACAACAGCTGACCTGCAACACATGAGCCGCCACAAAATTCAACCGTGAAACCTGTTGTCTAAACACAACATTTCTTAACCAGACTTGGTTTGGCCGAAAACATACCGGTCAACGGTTCAGACCTATATTGGAGTCCAAAAAGAAAACCAAAAGGCTTGCAAAATGGTGACGATTTGGATAAGATCCAGTTTGCAACCATTGTCAAACTATTTCCAAGGACTGTCTTCGTGTTTTGCGTTTGCGCCCTGTCATTTAAGAAAGTGTTGCCCCCTCATGTAAGGATTTCACATGTTCATCCCTGCGGCAACCATTTCCGAAAAATCCGATCGTTTTCGGGTTGCAAGCATTGGCACAACACCATGCAGCCACACAAACGTTGTTCCATGGCCGACCTTTTGAACATAACAACGACACAGCATGCATCAGCAAACAATTAATTTTGCGGTTGGGATTCGGGCCAAATGCCAAACAAACTGAAAACTGCGAAACAGCGAAATGACAATCCAGTGCTAGGCGCCACACCAACCCACTTCGTGAGTCTGTGTGTCTGCGCGGACGCAGAAGGAACCTCAGTTGCGCCAAGAAATATGTGATGAGCTGACGTAATCGTTTCCCCCACCATGCAAACCAGTTTGCAAACACATTTTCCCAGATGCCCTCCTCATTTTCGAGGCAGTCCAGAGCCATCATCTGTTTTATGACACACCTGAGGTGTGCACTCAATTATGATGCTGCCATTTGTCACGTTCACGATCTCCACCTGAGCACTTCGACTCCCACAAACAAATTGTTGGAAACCGATGCCAACAACAAACATTCCACCAAAATCCCCCAAAAACTGCAACGTGTTCTGCAGCACAACCCATCAAACATGTCGCATCGCCGAGCATGTCCGCTTCCAAATGCTGAGTGCCACACGCAATTCCCATGCCCAGGCAGGCCAAGCGAGGAACAAACCTCACGCCCAAAGCATGGAACCGTGGCATTGCATTTGATGGTCCGCCCTGCCCCCCCCTTGATGAACGAAAAACTGCAAACATATGACACCGAACCTTGTACGTTCAATTCGCGAAAACCAATCGGGTTGAAGGCCCAATCTATGGTGGTTCACGTGCAGCAGCCACGATGGCAGCAAAACCCATAGCAAAACCCATCAAAAGAGGGGCACCGAAACCATCCATTTTGGTTATTCCCCCATTTGGAGGAATCAAACCCAACACAAGCAGCCTCGCCTCACAAAAACTGGCTCCACCGAGCCCGTGGCACTTTTGCAGAAGCTTTGTCTGAAACCTGGCAGGTCCTCACGCCATCTCAGCGAACTCGAACTCAATCTTCAACTCGGAATGAAGAGCTTGATTGTTGATCATATCTCGAACATACGGTCCAGCGACATTGAGGATGTCCGGTGCCGTCAGCATTGTGACCGCTCACAGCCCTCTCCTTGGCGATCGAGGAGAACTCATGGCCCTGAATGATGAGCCACCGATGCCTCAGGCCGCGGGTCCCTGATCTTCGATTGAATGAAGACCTTCCGCTTCATAAAACCTACCCTGAATTGCCATGGCGAATAGTCCTCCGGAAAAGTATGGGCACCATCAAGTTGGAGCACCGACAAGCTGAGGCCAGTATGCAAGACAAATCAAGAAATCCCAACCTGTCCAAAGAGTCATTTGCAATCCAACACGTCGCAACATCACCAGGCTTGCGGCACGGTGTCATCCTCAGTATGCTCGGGAAATGCTTCTCCACGTGTTCGTCTCGACTTGACTGATCAAGCTTCCTGGCAGTAGGTAACTGCTTCTTTGCTGGAAGCACTGGGAAGGATTTCGGAAAGGACTTTCTTCTAAAGGACCCCTTTGACACGCCCAGGTGGGTTCCAAGTGGCATGCAAACGCCAGTTTGCAGTGAGGCTGCCATCATGTGTACAAGGGAATTAGTGCAACAGGGTTTCTATAAAAACCCAGTCAACAACCCAAAGTTTGCTATAAACACTCAATGCTGGGGTGCAATCTTGAAGGCATTCTCGCGATGAACATGGCAGGCACATCTCCAAATGGATCCCATCCCAACCCAAACCTTGGTTCTTTTTGTAAGGCAACATGTGGGTCTCACGCCCTCAACGGCTGTCCATCTGACGAAAGGAAGCTCAGCCATGGGCCAGCGAAAGCAAAGGGGATCCTACGGCTTGGGTTGGCACATGATCCTACGGCTCGGCCCGCGACCAGGTCTCCGTCCCCATCCTCGCGAATGAGGCGCGAGCGATCCGTGGTGGAAAACAGAAAGCACAAACAGCACCAACACAGTGGACATAGCAGAATCTTGTTTGGCTAAGAGGATCATTGGAGAACGGAATCCTGTGACAAATGCAAGCACCGAGCATCAAGGCGGAGGGCTGTCACAATCCAAATTGGAGGGTGAGAAGTACCGTAAAACAAGTTGAAGACCTGTCCATAGAAGAATGCATTTAGCCTCTTCGCAGTTTCTTTCAAGGACGTTGAGCCACTATAGGGGTGGTTTGGCACACAGCCTTCTCCCAAAACTGACCAAGAGGATCCAAGTAGGGGACCTGCACCCTGGACAAACTGATTACAATTTACCGGCAGGTTGCTGGGGCAAGGCAAGCTGAAACATGCAGAATTTAATGGCTCAAACACGAGATTGACTATTGGCTGGGAGTTGGGCCGCCTCAAACAAGATCAAACAAGGTATTCAGAGCGCGAGTGCAGCCCTAAACTGACCCAAAGACGCATTCTGTCACAATCTTCGCTGGGCATCATGGCTTTTGAAAGGGTTATGACGGTTATGTCTTGATGCCCTCCATGTGCCGAATGCAACGCCCAAAGTGGCGGTTGGCAGCCGAGTCACTCCGGGCCCAGTTCTTCATCAGGTAGTTGTTGGCATGGGTGCAATGCCAAGTCACGGCCAGGAACGTTCACAAGCCCCATGCCACGGTGGACACCCCCCCCCATGCAGAGGGTCCCACCTCCTTACTTTGGTAAACCCGGCAAACCCCAGTTACCTTCTATTAACCAACCATGTACAGTTTGGTTTGGAAAACAAACACCAAACCTTTTCGGATCAAAACTGTGCAGGGGCTATTGGCAGAAATCGGACTTGGATACCTGCTGCCAAACCCTGGCGTCCCTCTCCTCGTATGTTGCATCCATGTCATCAATCCGCCGCCTCAGATTCTGACTCCCAAGAGAATGTCAACTTTTCTCGAACTCCCCCCCCACAACAAGCAAGTGGCCCGGGCCCACTACACCAGGTGTTGTAGTTGTAACGTGCCATTTTTTGGGATTTCAATTCTTGGAAAACAAACATATCTGCCCTCACATGCGCCCGCGTCCCCTTTTCAGGGGCTCCCCGCATCCACAACCACTAGAGCACACCCAGCACACCTTCATGGAATGCACTACAGGACCCAGGAAAATGGGGCCTTTAGTAAACGGTCAAGGGCTACCAAATGGTTTGTGAAGAGACCCCTCTTTTGGACAATTTTGGAGGCCATACAGCTATTGAGGGGGCCTGGGGCCTGGTTATGCGGGGACTCTGCAAAAGTCGGGAGCTCTTGGCATCCCGGCATCCATGCCAGGTGCATCTCCGATGGCTCAGCCTTGAGTCTGGGGCTTGGGCAGCCCCATGGACTCTTTTTTCCAGTTTGAGTGGGGAACCCGACTAAAACAAAAGTGCCACTGAACAACTGAAACTGGGGCGAATTACTTCAGAAGATGGCATGTGGGTCGTCAAAACTTGGTCTCAGGACCAATTTCGGTGTGAGGTCGAGGTCCCAACCAGGGCCCCGGCTTGCCTAAACGAGGTCAACTAGCTCTGAACAGAACCAAAACAGCATCACCGAAGAATCCGACCCGAAAAGCACCCCCCTCATCCCCGAAAACACCCCTGAATGCAAAGGCATGGCATCTGTTTCAAGGCACCTTGCTCAGGGCAGGCAGCAAACGAGCCATCCGGCCTTTCAAAAGCAGATTGCGCGGCTTGCCTCGAACTTGTCCACAAAGGAAGCTGCAACATCCCACCCCAACCCCGCCAAAGAAAAACAACAATACCCCCCATCCCAAAAAAATCCCACCCCCAACCCAAAAAAAGGAAGACCACCAAAAACCACTGGAAGTTCAGCCTGTGACACATCGGATCGCTGGAGGTCCCGGCTCCCGGTGGCAAGGTGTCCTTGGGCTTCTTGTCCTGCAGGAAATCTCGCACCAACCAGGCACCACTTAAAACCGAAACTCGGTCTCTTTCTGCTCCCCTGCTAAAAGTGAATAACGTTTAGTGGTTGATCGGAAAACCCGTTAGTTGGAAACAAAAGCTAAAGTCCTAACATCCCTTGGCAAAATGCACCAATGAAAACAGAGGACCTACCTGCATTGACTCCACTCCCCTCTGGCTGCCGGCATCGGCCCTGCGGATCCCATCCGCAAGCTGTGCGGCGGTGGCTTGCTGAACTCGTATTCAGAGCAACATGCAATCAATTCAACATGACACATAAAAATGCATGTGTGTTAGTGTACACATATATATATATATATACGTGTGTATATGTGTGTAACCTAGATTGACATGGTTTGTGCAGGTTGGTTCAAATCCAAAAGCTCAAGAGGGAACAAAGCGAAGGGCGCCTTCTCGGTCTCCATTCGCACCGATGCCATGGGGTCCTGGGCACCGATGCCAAGCATTTTGGGTGGCTCGTCCTTTGCTAGGAATCGGACCCCCCTATGGACCTTCTGGTGGTCCTTCTGGTGTTGCAAAGGAAACCATCCCAAACGGGCTCCGTCAAAAAAGGACGTGACAGACCCATGTAAACCGCTGAGTCTTGGGATTGCTTGCGCTTCCTCGGGTCACTCCACCTCCCTGTGGGATTTTGCTGCCCTCAGCGCCGGGCCGCCGGCGCTGCTCGCCTCGAGCCAGTGTCGCTGTGTTGTTTGTTTTGTTTTTTTGCGTGCGAACAAAATTACACTGCGCTGGGTGCTAACCTTCCAGGGGCGGTAGGGGGGGGGGGGGGTTGGGACTTGTTGAAGGGTATGCTGGTCTTTGACCATTTTTTGGACTGTAGTGCAGCATGCCTCGAAGAAGCAACTCTGCACTTTTGGACAGTCCACGGATGTTTCCAGGGCATCCTAGGCAATCACTGCAGAAAAACAAAAAACCGCACAAAATAAATATAAACATTTCCAGGAAAGGAATCTCTTGTTTGGATTTTGGTTTTTTTGGGGTCGCGACGTATTCGCGGGGGAACCAACGCGGGATGCCCGCGCTCCAGTCCCGAAGCTCAGGCGCAGGCACGGTTTTCGTGGACCAGCCGGGGGGCGGCCTCGGGCTCGATGTTAAGGGCCCAATGGAAAAACGCCCACCCGGCGCTGAATCCGGGGCCGCGCATATATTTGACCAAGCCGGGAAAGAGAAGTGGGCCTTCTCATCCGATGCCAGGGAAGCCCGGCGATTCAGCCAAGGCAGTGCATCCAAGCTCAAGTCCACCGACATTCTCGGCGTGTCAGACACCCAAAAGAGGATACAGGTTCTCCGCCGTAACGGGGTTTGGGGAGGGCAGGGGGGGCGAGCCACGTACCGGGCTCGGGCTTGCCGCCACAACTTGGCATGGAATGGAAATGCAGGGATATGAAGGGGACACTAAGGGGCAGCAACGAAGGGAAATATAAACGAAACATTAAGGGACAATGAAAGGGAATTGATGGGGAAATGAAGCGGACATGATGGACATGAAGGGGAAATGCAGGTAAATACATGGCAAATGAAGGGGAAATGCAGGGAAACAAAGGGAAATGAATGGAAAACAATAGGAAACTTGAGGCCCAGGGAGGTGAACGAAAGCTAGCTGCAGCACATGCTGTTTTCACACGCCAGCAGCTCGCAGGCTAAGAGGCGATCTTGTGGCGCGCGCCTCACGTTTCGGCCCAGCCGAAAAGCGAGAAGGGAGAGCTCTGTTGCTTTTTGGCTAAACGGTTTCGTGTGTGTGTGTTTTGTATATTAACATGTAGAAATATGTATGGTTGACTTTCTTGTTCTTTGGGTATGTGTCAAAATCTGGAGTCGGCAGGCAAAAATTGCGCCTTCTTTCCTTTTGGCCTCTCTCCAAAGACTCGAAAATCAACACGCCCATCGTCTGAACATGGCTCTTGTTTTTGGCCTGAGAGCCCCCCAACAGCGGCCATCAGCTTGCATCAGCAAAAACAAGAAGGTGTCGAGGATCAAGTGAACTTTGCGTGAATAGGCATCCAGAGACGAAGTCTTGATGAAGTTGATGAGTGCAACAAGGACCATGCCAAAAAAAACCAATCAGCGAAATGGGTCTTTTGAGGGCATCCTGTTTAGGTTAGTTCAGAAAATGAATGCGGAAAACCAAAACACTAGTTGTTTTGGGGGGTGCCCTATTCAGCGAATTGACTGGCAGTCTGATCATGTCTTCCAGTCTAACACTGTGTCTTCCGATCGGCCATGAAGTGCAATAGCGCACTCAATTGTCAGAAGGATGCGGCACATGTGATATGTGGCAGAATGTTGCATCAGTGTCTTTTTTATTCCGCTGCAGTACATTCAAGGTGCGGGCTCATCGAGCCGGTACTCAGGACGTGCCCGGTTTCTGCCCACCGCGGTGACGCGGCCGCAAGTTGCGCAAGGAAGCCGCGGCCATGCCTCTTTTTTTGCGTGGCCTGACAGCGCGACAGAGTGCCAGCTGTGCACGCAGGACGGCGTCTCGGGCCGCCTCTGCGCGTGAGGCTGCTAGCTTTACGTCCACTGGCTGCATAGCTGTACAAAGGTTTTCCAGATTCACAGCTGCCTTCTGGAGAGACAACCTCAGGCGAGAAAGGGGACCCCACACATGTCCTTTGGAAGGTCGAGGTTTGGCCGCAGGCATGTCCGAGGCATGTAGGTCTTGGCAAGCTCGCTGCTGGAGTGTGGCTATGCCAGATCCAGAGGCGGCCGCGCACCGTGCTCGCCAGCCACTCCCAAACTTGCCCTGCATGGATGTCACGTAGGTGTCGTAGCAGAGACTGCATTTCAATCTTCGGTGGGTGGCTTTTGCAATATCAGACATGCAGCTCTGGTAAACGTTCCAGCTGAGCGGCTCTGTCGCATGGCGCATGAGAGCTGCGTGCGCAGCTTGAAAATTTGTCGCCGCAGGCGCAGCGGCTTCGGTCATGTTGGCTGCGGAGCCGTTGTCTTAGACACGGGTCGGTCGTGCAGGGCCTTGGCAATCTAGGATCCGGGCTTAGCGCCTACAACCCGCCAGAATCATCATGAAACAAGAAATATGAGGAAGAGATTTTGTTGCCCAACAATGTTGAAAGCAGAACTGCTCAGGAGACGGGTGCTTCTGCTAAAACCCGGCGCTAACTGCTTTGAGCTCCAAGGTAATGGCTGCGGGCTGCGCGGTCTTGGTGGCGATGCGAGCGGAGCTGGCAAAACACATGGGCATCTTGTATCGGCTGGCACAGAGTGCAAGTGAAGGTCATTTTTTTGGGCAGCCACGAGGCCACGGCCATTCGGAGCTCCTCGCCAGATGCCTGCCGAGCAAAACAACGTGGGGCGGACGCGAGTCGGCTCACGCACCTGGTCAGAAAAAAACAGTGCACAACAGACACGCGCAGACATCTGGCTCTCAAGAGACCCGGAGCAAGCATACATGCAAGTTTGAGACAATCTCAGGTTGCAAGAAGAAAGCAAGGCAAAGGCTGTCTTTGTAAGAAAGTACGGATTTGGTTGCTGCTGATCCGCTGCCCCCTCGGAAATTCAACTGTGGTCATGTTGCGTCTTGTCCTGAAACAACATGACTGCAAGGATTAGAATTGTAGCTTGTTCCAGGAGCATGCGACGAGCAGAGAGTGTCGACTGCTCTCATTGGCAGAGCATCTTTGTCTTCTCTGGTGATGGCAGTAGCCGGTTGCACAAGCAGCAGCCCAGAGGCCTGGTACCCGCACTGCTGGCGTCGCAGGTCTGAGAGCAAGGGCTATGCGCGCACTGGTGGCGCGCAAAGGAATCAAGGCAAGGGACGTGCCTGGCGCGCGCTGCTGGCGGCACAGGTCTCAAATCAAGGCTCTTGCGCGCGCTGCTGGCGTGCATTGAAGCCAGGGCACACTGCATGTGAAGGTCACGCTGCGGCACTCTTGAAGGTTCGCGAGAGATGCTCCAGAGTCTTCTGCGGGAGTGTAGTAGCAAACTTGCAGCTGAAGTAAGTATTGGAGACTAGGTCGGCGAGCCCCTGGAGCAGCGTGAGGTCAGCCTCATTCTCCATATGCAGTGGCGGTGTGAAGCGGTAGTATCCACCTTGCATGCTGGCCCCGTCGACTTGCAACTGCGCGCAAGCCTCTCTCAAAGGCCATGTGTTACCACCAAGTAGCAGGCGGAACTTGTCGCCGGACTCAGGCACACTCTCTGCATGCACGGTCAAGTGCTGGGAAGCTGGTCCGGGGAGTTCCTTCAAGGAGACCTTGGGGACGGTCGCTTGCATGGCCACCTCCCACCCTGGCACCGCGTCCGGCGTGAAGTCGGCGATGTTGACAAGCCACATGTGCACCGGCAGCTTTCCAGGCATGCCCTCGCGAGTTCTCCTCCAAGAAGTAAAGGCTGCGACGTGCTGAAGCGCCGCCTGAAGACCGTCTCGAGCTCCACCGGCGAAGAGAGCAATTCTCCATGTAGGACCTTTGCCGAAGGCCCAGAGGAGCTGTGCGTACGATGCCTGGGCGCGACGAGCTGCGGCAAAAATAAAAGAAAGCAGAACCAAGAACATCAAAAAAAGGTCCTGAGATCGGTGTTTACTTTTTACCCGCGTTTGGGACTTGGTTTGATTGACCTCTGCAGGTGGCAGAGATTTTTGCCCGGCGACCCGAGACCTAGCAGTTGTGTGTATGGGACTGCTGTCTAGGCGCCAAGTCTGGAACAGTACGCGGCGCGTCCTCATCAGACATGGTGTCGGCGGCCGCGTGCAAGTACAGCTGTAAGTGTTCTTTCATCTTGAACAGCACACTGGGAACTTGGCGACTTCCTTTCATCTGCAGGTCCATGGCAAAGCACGCTTGCTGTGGCTCGAAGTGTTCCGAGACCAGGCTCCCATCTGGAGCATACTGCCACACTGTAATCTCCAGCGCATTTCCAGGCGCCGAGGAGGAGGTACCTTGTGCAGCTGACCGGCGTCTTGGTGTCAAGAAGGGCTTCGGAGCAGGAGTCACCGGCGAGGAGGGGGGCTCAGGCTTAGCCGCGGCAGCCACTGGCGGTGAACCTGCATCAGGCTTGGGCGCGGCAGGCACTGTCTCCGAGCTTGGGGCCGGCTCAACGCGTGGCCTCTTTGCGACGGGCGTTGAGGCGGGGGCGGGCATGATGGGCGATGTCGCAAAGGGGGCAGGCGCAAGGAACTGAAATGGCAGCGTTGTCACGTGTTGCAACGGGACGTATGGGTGGGAAAGGGGTGGACCGCTGCCCAAGTCTTAAGCGGCCACTAAAGAAGCAGCGGCAGAGTGTTCCTGATGGATCTCCTGACGGCCCCCCCAGATCCAGCCTCCTTCCGCTTCCTCTTGCAGCTCTCAGCTTTCGGCTCTGGCTCCTCTGGCAAAAACAAAAGGAGAACTCCCAGGGATCAGCGGCCAACCTAAAAAGGATCAGCTTGCAGCTTCTTGGGACTCAATGAGTTAATGTTTTGCGTCTGTCAACTCCAGCTTCACCTCGGGTAGCGTGCGGATGCCTTGTTCGATGATCTCTACGCACTGTGAAGAGCCGACACCCATGAGATGCCCAGTGAGTCTTTGTCTCAAAGGGGGGGAGAAAGCCAGGATGTGGTTTCCTTTGGTTATCCCTTTCCAAACGGCCCTTCAGGGGTCCCAAGGGTTGCCAGCTTTGAGCTAGAGGGAACAAGTAATCACCACACCCAGGCCAAGGGATACGCGCAGGTGTCCCAAGCAGCGAGCCCTAACTCCATTGGCCAGTCCTTCAGAGAAAGGCTCGCAAAATCGGAAGCTTGCTTTTTCGTTGGCTTAAAAAGGAAAGCAGAAGGGTAACCACTTTCCCAAAGAAGTTTCCCATTTTGCGAAAACTTCGCTAATGACGCCACGACCAGAATTGCTGGAGAAGACTAATTCTTGTGATTGCTCTCCATGACATCTGCTCACAAAAGATGACCGCGCCACAAAAAGGCAACCACAAAAACTTGCACCCTCTGCTTCCATTGGCTCTCAGCTCCCTTTGGGCAACCCGGCGCTGACATTCACACCCAGTCATCAGAGGACCTGCTGGCTACGTCGCTGAGCAAATCAAACCAGCCTCTCTGATCAGCTTCTTTCTCCGAACCAGCCGCACATACCTTCGGCAGGATTCTTTGTTTCCGCACCTGGAACCCATTGGCACCTCCTGTTTGGTGGTGTGACCCTTGATTTTGAGGGTTCCTCCTTCAAGAAGAAAGTGCAGATCTTTACAAACGAGGAACTTTGCGAGTCACTGAGTCACAAAAAAACCAAAGCACCGCCCGTACGAGCTGTTTTGGGAATTCCGCGAACATTCCCCGGGCGTTTTGTGGCCTTCAGCAGCTCCCTCCTCCGCTGCAGCTTCCTATGTGCCTTGATCTGCTCCAAGGCGCCCACTGTCGCCACAATCAAGAGTGTCCTGTTGCCATCGGTCAACAACCCACAACAAAGCCGATCTGCAGGCCCGTGTCCAGATTGCAACAGCAACGGGCGAAAATGCATTCGACCCGAACTCCGACACCCCGAAGTTAACCGGAACATACCCTACATTCGCTGCAGCATGTTCAACGCACGTCTGGCGTGCTTCCACATCAAGGAGGATTCACAGAAGCCTTGGCTGTGGCCGAAAAAGAACCGACGGCTCGCGCCTGTGCCTGTTTCGCTTGCGGGTCTTCTGCGATGAGTCTGGCCAGCAGAGGCACCTGTGCAAAGGGGAATGGAACGCTTGAGTAACTGGCATGGGAAGAAAGACGTGGTAAGCACAAGCAACAGACGCAGGCGTGACAGGGGGAGGACAAGGTAAGACGAGCAGGAAAGGAAAACGGAAGGGAACCATTGTCAGGAAAGGATGAGTGGGCAGAAACTGTACAGAGAAATAAGGGCGAGGGACTTGACAACCGGAACAGTCCTGCCTCATGCAAGGAGACGCAGGAAACAGCGCGGAGACAATATTCACTGACGGCGCCGCTTCTGTGGGGGCTGAACCACAGTCGTGGCGTTGGCCAGGAGAGGGGCAGTGATAAGGCGGCGTAGTGCGTCGCAGCCCAAACTTGCTAGCTCTGCATCCGCTTGCTGGATGGTGCTTTTCTCGGCGCTGGAGAGGCGCAGCACCTCGTTCCGCAAGTCTGTCGGTGGCCCTCCTTGGAGACAAGAAAGCTCGGGAGGTCGCAAGATTAGGAGGTCATCCATGGAGCGCAAGCGACTGAGAAGGACATAGACCGAAAGCCAGACTTCATCCTTGCGTCATTTGAATCGGGTAAAAAAACATGCTGAAACAAATATCGCAGACAAAAGCGCCGCTGACTAAGGTCCCTGCTCGTTTCATACCCGGTGGTCGGGAGAGATCAGCCAACATGTTTCCGAGTGTTTGGCCTTGCAGGTTGTAGACGGTGCACGCCAAAGGATTAGTACAGGGGAGTTGTCTTCTCGTGATGTGGAGAGTGTCACCCTGTAACTGAGCTCGCGTTGCGTCGTCCAGCCCCATGACGCGTTCAAGGAGAGGTGTATGTGTCCAGTCACGAGCCACAGGCTGCAGAAGGCAGTCTCCTTGCTCCAAGAGGAAGCTCTGAAGGAAATCTCCGTCAGGCACACGCATAAGAAGGCTGCGTGGCAAGAACTGCAAGACATGTGGTGGCAGGGACGGTGAAAGGTCAAATGAAGGCTCTGCCTCGTCGAGCACAATAGACTCCAAGACGCCGTGACATCCTCGAACCAGTCCGCAGGCATCAGCAATTTTTTCCTCGAGGTTGAGCACGCATCCCTTCCAAAGGAATAACACGCCAGGCAGGTTTTCAGTGTCAGAAAGACTAGTGATGTGGCATAGGTATCGCAGGAGAGCTGGACTGGGCACTTGCGAAAGTCGCTGTGTCCGACAGGTGTCAACTGCCAAACAGATCACCAGTCGCTGCTGCGCAAGTGCACTGAGATGCAAGGCTCGATGCAAGCATGCGGTGGCGCGTGCACTGTGCCG